AAGATGAGAGTAGTCCTGTAGCGATACCAACTGGCTGATTATTTCTTTTCTTTTTTCAATCTTATCTTCTAATTTTTACTTCCTTTTTTATTGAATATACAAAGATACCATTTTTCAGGAAGGGGGAAGCGGCCAATCGAAGGGCTGCCATACAACACACACAAATGGGGAAAGTCAGGCGGTGGTGGTGGGATTCGAACACACGTCCCCCTGGGTGATAATTGGTGACTTACCACCGGGCCACCACCTACGCCCAAAGTTGTTCGCTAAAAGCACATACTATACAGTTGAACTAATCGTTGCTTCCACCACCGCCAGCACTTTCAGTGAAAGCATTTTCTAATGAAGTGATGGGATAATCACTTCTGTACAGTTTTCTAGTGAAAACATTTTGTTACTCGGCCTGTTGTCAGCTAACAGACATTATTGGCGCTGGAGGGTTGTTCCACTTGAAAGTGATGTTTGCCTCCGTTTGGTGATATTTTCTTCTCCGAAGTCACACTCATGATGTTCCCTAGTCTGACTACATAGGGCTGCAAACAATAATTCCATCTTGGCTAATCCAACAACATTAACAACCGCATCCAAAGCTACAATCGCATAATATATATCCATCCGAGGGGCAGTCCTTGACAATAGACAGGCGTTCATCAATCGGTATATGCGAGAGAAGATACCCAAACTCGTATCGTCATAAACAGTTAGAAATTCTAATGAAAAACGTTTTTCACAATTAAGGATGAGTTCAAAATGCTATATAAAAGTTTCATTCGCCGTGATGGAATAGTAAGTAGTATTTGGTTTCTAAATTTCTGAAATTCCATGAACAGGAGTGAATGCATCATTTTTGGGGCGTGAAAGGACAAGTAATTTGGAAGTGGTTGTTTGTGTTTCATAGGGGACTATTTCATACTTTTGGTGGGTTTTAGTTTTCGATTAAACACATGATTATCGGTCTTCCAACCGTGTTCAGTTCCGACATTAATCTCAACTTGATTTTCTCGATATGATTTCCTTATGCAACCTCGAATATCGCTACAATCGACAATCAGTATGACGCAAACGTTTTTCAACAAAATCTGTTGCGCCGATGTATCGCAGATTCTTGATGTACTGGCATGTTCCTCACTCAATGATAGCGAGCACCATCCTCATTATTCTGTGTCTCAGAGTTCGAGAGATTTGTTTCTAGCATTGATAATATTTTAGTGCCCTCCAGACGTGTGTAGGTAAACTGCAAACTGTCGAATAAACCACTGGCACGTTAACCGTTTAAAATCCGCGCACTGGTGGAGATCAGCTAGCTACCCGTAGGAGTCTCCCCATAAAACGTGTACTCAGCTTCCTGACTGGGTCGGTTGACATCTGATTAATTTCGGCACATTCGATGAAAACGGATTTTCCGCCTTCTGGTGCACGCAAAATCACGAGAAATCCAGGTCAATCTGAGAATGCACATTGTTCTTTATCTAGTTCAAACCCATGCGACCGATTGGCCGGTGCCAATGTTGTGCTCCACGCGGTTAGAAATGCGGAGTGACCGACGGTGTACACGGCGTGTGCACTTTGGTCAAAATCACTGTCATCCGGATTGCGCAAAAACCAGAACCAGGTTTATCATGGACTTCAAATGATGAAGCGAATTCTGTATTTTGTCCCGCCAAAATGAGAGTATCAAACGAATTATCATTCCACATAAAATCCATCCTTTTACTGTTGTCCATATTTGCACCAATCAGTGATGATGATCGCGGATACACCGGATGAGTGTAGTAGTGAACAAACTGAGAAGCAAGCTCATTTTTGTTGCCTCACTAACTAGTGAAATACGGTAGTAATGCACAGATCCTATTGAAGGTGTGTTGGAGAATAGGCGACAAATCATGAGATGATGGGAGAGCGGTTTAAATGCGCGTAATCACATTGGAAACTCACGACCAAGTAATCGCTGCTCTGGTAATTGTAATTGGCGGTTACTCAGTGGTCTTATTACGTAATCGGGGCCTTCCGTCAGTAACCTGGTAGATAGTTTTGTCACAGATTGCAAGCATCATTTTACCAAATGTATTAAAGCTGTTAGTGCATTTTTACCGAAACCTTTTCATTTATTTGGCTGACTCTTCTTTGTCGTTTTCTCTGTCTGATAACCAGGATCTTACTAAATGCTTCATCTCTTTGAATTTTGTCACCGTCCAATGATCTTCAATACAGAATATCGAATGCTCAGTTTTTCTTCATTTGAACAGTTGAGTGATACAAAAGGTTTGAGATCTACCACTCCTCCTATGCTTCGATTTACCGCTGCATTCCAACATCGTCTACTCACAACATGTTCAATAGCATCGACATACTGATGAAAGGGAACCTGAAAATTGTATTTCATCTTGCCAGATTGCTCGTTTTCAAATTGGTTTAGACTAAAAAAGAAAGTCAATTTTATCTACAAAATCATCAATCTGTGACTGTTCTGCGCTGATACATGTCGGATGTACTTGCTGAAAATGTATCCCTCTATGGGCAGATCCGGTGCAATCTCTAAGTGATTGAGGAACCTCAAAATACTGATTCGTCTTTTAAACATTCATGAGAACACACGGACCGACTGTGTGCACTACCGTTCATGAAGACTTATATTGCCATGCAATTCTAATTATACCAGATATTGCGTAATAAATACCTCCGAGAGTCCAGTGTATTGGATTTCGACATGTTCTCATTCACAACCATTCTGGCATTGAAATTAAACCCTACACATTGTGGTGAGTTCAATTTTACAAGCTCTGAGTTTATTTACACAAAGTTAATCCTGATTGTCGGTTAACAACTGTTCATTTTGGTCTATCCACTTGACCTCTTCCTATTTCTTATGATCGGTACTCCTGCAATCGGAACACCCCTTTGTGATTTACGGCTCTATGTGTGTGATATTTCACCCTCAAGTTCAGTTCTAGTGTATGAGGATTGACCAGTTCGCCTATTATTTAACCCTTTTCGTAGATACTCATCATTCGAACTATCAAACCCGGTGAACATCTATTATCCATTAAGTATACCGTTTTCTGCAGCTAACTGCTTCGAGGTCATCAATATTTGGCATGGTTATCTGATGGAAGTAATCGATAAGACTGATCGTTTACTCTTACTATACGTTGGAAGGATGCTACACGCAGAAAGCTGCACTGTTCGGTTGAATTAGCTTTTGGACCCACAGAAAACATTTCCTCCGGCGAAGATTGAACGAAACCGAGAGTGATTGGCTGAGAAGCAGTGCAAACCAGTTTCAACCACGCTGAGTATCATAAACATCACAAATCGATCGAAACAGCTGACATTCGAATTTAAAACTTTTCCAGTAGACCACAGGCAGCCTACTTGTTTAGTCGCTTGACAGCTAATTGACCTGGGTGAGCGAGTTCATCGAAGCAAACAATTCCACATGCACACACAAAGAAGGATCTGCAGTTCATTCGTGTAACCGGGATCCCGTATCCTGTGCCCAAAGTGCCAATATGACGAGCGTGAAATTGAACGAGCAGCGAAAGTTTGTGGATTTTCAAATCCCGAACTACGTGTCATCTTTTCAGTGACAACTCTAGGGACGACCAGGTACGCGATAATAATATTGTACATGAATAGGTCCCATCATTGTCAGTCACTACAGGCGTTATTCTCGAGAATCCTTTTGTCCGATAGAAAGCATAAGCAAATGAAACGCATATATCCTCTCTTACTGCGCATGTATTCCACCAAATTAATGGAAATATATGCATAACACGCCTTTCTCAGAACCAGTTCATTGATCGGAGGACATATTGCAATACAGATCCGCTTAGCCGGTTTCAGACAACAGGAATCAGAAATGTGGCCACCGAGTGAATGTCATGACCCCCTAGAACAACCATTCCGCCTGTTTGTATGACATTGTCCTGGCTTCACTGTAAATCATAGCACTGAAGATAAATCCGTGCGGTAGAACCAGTAAATCGATTTCCCGGACACGGAGGTTGTGGTTGAATATGTTCAAGGAATGTGCCCGTACGGAAAATGAATAACGCACATCCGCCTATTGAACAGGAACACATTATCCATGATCATCATCGAGAAAGCCCTTCCTTCCACTGCGCTTGTTTCCGCTTAAAGCGTTACGAGCAGTTATTTGTGATGTTTACTAAGCTGGTACAACAACTTTCCAACTATTGTATTCAGCCTAGACCGCAGAGAACAGGTGCAATAGACTACCAGGGATACCGTTACAACCTAAACAGTTAATAGCGTCTGAAGGAATTGGTACAGATGTGTCTCATTCATTGTCACCAGTCCACAGGGTTTGACCCACAGCGGTCGGTGAGTGGTGCTGCCCTAGGCTCTACCATTCACCTGAAAGATGGGTCCGACCGGCTTCCAGCAAATCACGTGATCTATCCGGGCAGCTCGTTCTTTGCGTTGATCATTCGGCATCGTCTCGAACCACTCTCTGCTGTTAGATGGAGGACCGGTGGCTTCCCGGTAATCATTTTGACTGACTCTTCATCGGGCATTTCCAGGTTCCTCTTGTGCGCAAACTGTATGAATTATTTATTAGGAAACGTCAAGGAACACGAATTGAATAGATTGCTGGAGCGAGATGATTATCAACTCGTAAAAAGTTGTAACTACCAAATAGTTTTCCGGTATTTCCAGCGTTCTGATAAACGTCATTCATTGCGTCATCATTGATCACTGTCCCGTGTCATCACCGTCTGAGAGTGGTATCGAGACAGAACTAATCCTCAAATCTGTTTGGTTTGAAGGGGATCAGCATGCTCCCAGATCGTGTGTGCAACACCCGATCGAGATGACGCAATCGATTGCTCTGATTCAGGAAAGTTGGCTTACACTCCAACCGTTGCATTTATATGTTCAACATCAAATTGAGTGTGATACATAGAGGGATTAGATTAACGAGACGGGAGGTTTGGGAACAGACCAGAAGAAGTATCGAAGATAGTCAGAATAATTTCTCAAGTATTAACAAGCAAACGTTTGCAGTCTATTTTTGGTTCCATTTTGGTACCATTGTTGTTGTACGGATCGCGTAAGAGTTGATGTTTGAGAAAGTGCCCCACAAAATATATGACGAATTCCAAAACGTATTGCATTGATCCATCCACGTAGTGGAACGTTGCATGATTCTCGCTAACGTAGTCCTGGAGGAACATAAAATAGGGGAATCAGTGACAACAAGACTCTCGGTTTGCGCTAAGGTGAGCAAAATCACCGCTAGGACAAGGGATGATAAACTTCGTTCAGATTATCAACATTGGAATCGGTTTTCATCGTGAAAAATAAACGAAGTCATTCATTCGAGAGTATTGCAAAATGTCCATTTACCCAGTTCGGTCGACTTTTCACATCCTTTTCAGCGAGCCATCGAAACCGGTCGAATTTGGTCTCCAGTTTCATATTGTAAAATAGTTTGGCTCCTTTGGCATCGTGACAGTCGTATTGAGCTACGTCGACAACTCGTGCACAGGCCGCTGAACCGATTGCAGAATAGAAAATAAAAGCGAATTTCTGTGTGCTTGATAGCATCGTGTCATTACAATACGATCACCGTGTTCCCATTTTCAGCGACATACTTGAAATGGCACCATATGTAAAATGTTGCTTTTGCCGGAAATCGTGTGAATAAAACATTGACAGATTCCTTTTTCATACTTCACATCAATCGATCTGATCTTCTGTCCCAATATGACGTATCTGACATCCTGGCTCGTTTTTATCACAATCATGCACGGCTTCCCAGTTGATCCCGGTTGATCACAACAGTCGTTGAGGTGTTTGCATCTTATCCACACTAATTCCACGTGCTCCCACAGTTTATCTCCCCGCTTGAGGATCAATGAAAATGTACAACTTATTTAGTTTTCAGATAACAGGAATGGTAGCTGACCGCGGGGAGGTAAGTCAAACCCTTCACTAGTTGTTATCTTTCAGTTTGTAAGTTCGAACTCTGTTCCAATCACTTTACAAAATATGAGTATGACCCACACGTTTTCGGTATGGCCCGTGCTACCTACAGTACGCAATTCCTAACAAGTTGGAAACTGCTTTCATCGGACCCACGTGTGACTGGATCGGTTGAAAGTATGATACGAAGAATTCATGACACAATGCGAGCAAAACCTGTGCATTTCCAGTAACATCAGAGACAGTTCAAATTGTCCTAACCATAATAGACAGGCATGCAATTTCTGTCGGCTTTGTAATTAAAATTGATTCTCGCACAAATCAGGAATTATAAATCGGTTGAATGGAAGGAAAGTCGGAGATTGTTGGGAGTTCGTTTCCGGTATTTTATACTTCTTCGATATGATGACCAAGATACATGATCCGGAATGAAAAGTGTGAACTTAGTCGAGACGAAAGTGCCTTACAATACAATGTGCAATGAATCACACAAATCTTGCACAATTAGACTGGAAGGGAACAGAGGCCAAACTTGCCAAACACTACAACAAACCCACCAAGACGAACATCTTCCGGGCCTTCTGTAGTGTCGCATTTGGGCTTCCCGTTCGGATACTCCAGACCGTCATGTACAATTGCTTTCAATGCGCTTCTAGACAGCAGATAACCAGCTCCGCCGGAGTATAACAATGGACTTGATTGATCCTATAATGAACGGGCAGGTGGAGGCGAACAGAAACACATCAGTGAGTTTACTTGAATAGGACTGCAACTCAAATAACTATTGTTCCTCATTAATTGTTTCATTCATTTTAAACCTTCAAAAGCTTACTCGCATCGCGTAACCAGTTTCAATTTTCCCATTCGCGTTGAACTTTTGCATCAAAAATTCCAGATTCTCATTGATTACAAACGAATCATCATCTCCCTTGTAAAAGTAGTCGTAGTTGTCTACGATCTGATACAATGTTTTGTAAACGTCCATCATTTTGGTCCAAAGATGTCTGTACGATTCGGACTTTGTGAGGTTAAAATCTGAGTAGAAAGGGAAAGAAATTTGCATGAGTTAACCAGCAGTTTCATTTGGGACTCGTGTTTGTTCACCACAACAGGGGTGGGATGCTTTTTATCTGACCGGTGGATATGCACGACACACAGATCATATTTGCGACCTGAGGGCAGCAATCCACAGAGCCGCACAACGGGACATGGTTAATGGCTGTAAATTAATGAAGGTGAATTCCATTAATTGGGCAATACAATCTACACGGGCACCGTTGTCCACCGTGTATTCCATTTGGGATTGCCAGTCCGACGATGCTAAGGGATGGCGGTAGAAACGGAAATTTGGTTCTGACTTCACGTGTGACAAAGTGACTTCACGTGCTGAGTCAATTTGACTGACCACTACGCGCTTGATTTTTTCGGCTGTTGTTGTTGCTTGCTTGCTGATAAGGTACGACTTTTGTTAATCGACCACACAGTCGTGATTGGTGTTCGGTGGGTTTTCAACAGTTATGTCATGAGGAAATAATTGATCCATAAAGGCGATTGCAATCTTTGAATCCAGTGTATTTAGTTGTAAAACATTGTCAAACAAGACATACAAAATGAAATGTCCAGCAAACCGATATCGTTCAGCTCACATTTGACTGCAGTGAGCTGGTGAAACTCGGTACTGGATGTGCTGTATAGGAATGGTATGTACAGAAGTAGTATGGTGCGTGTGTGTGTTCATGTTAACATTTTGGGTAAAAACCTTACCTATCTGATCTCCTCGACCACGAATAGGACAAAACGTTTCCAAAAATATACCATTGATTCCCAGGCAATCACTAATCTAGTTTGATATCGCAAACTCCGTTGTGTTTTTTGACACAACCGCAGATCGCGCCAATTCGACTGAGATATCATTTGCATACGGCAGTGCAATTTGTAGGGCAGCCTGCGAGTATTCGACCAGCATGAACAACCAGACAAAATGTTTCGTCCAGAGAAACAGCAATACATGAATAACACGTTTGGGAGATTCGATGATGCCTTCAGGACTCCGCGATTCAGACAGTATTCTCTATCACTAATCATCATATACATATATCGTGCACAGTTCGAATGCACGATATTAGGAGTCCCGTTTGAAGGATGTGGAGGTGCAATGAGGTGGCGGGTTTCCCATGTATATACAAGAAACAAAGAGAATGGAGAGACGCTTGAATCAATATTTATGGAGGAAGACACTCTACCGGCAAATACAGTAAGTTAGGAACGACTGGAAAGTATTCAGTTAAAGCATTCCGAATTTCCAGTCTCACGCTGCATTCGAAAAGATATTGAGTAGGTATCCCTCCTCTGAGGAGAACTAAGATCTTTGCACAGTCAGGATAAAGATCGAAGTTTGGAGAAGCGACTTGCCGGAGGGGTATTCTCGGTACATTGCCTTATAAAAGTGGTTGAAATGAGGAAGTTGTGTGAAGTTTTCTTATAGAAACTGTTTTTAGGATCTCCTCGGGTATTCGCTCTTTCCAAAACACTGGGATAGCCAGTATATTGGACGAACTAAGAGGAGATTGCTCATCAAGACCTCACAATGTGTCTCAAGAAATTTAGCACTAAATGGCTTGAAGATTCCTTCCAACTCTATTTGCCGCTGCTTATTGGACTGTAAAATTTGCATCCGCCCGTAACAAGTGCCAACCCGACACGACACGGTTGGTACCGTTTGCTGAGGCTGTACCAGTTCGACGTCACAAACTGGACCTCTTGAAGCACGTAGTCTATTTGTATCTAGCCTGGCCCCGCCACGGTAAGGCTGTCATCGTGCTCTCTATCAACAAGCATGTTACTCCACTCCTTCCTTCAATTCACTGTGTACCGGTGACCTTTGATCTGAGCATTTTTTGTACCATATCGGGACATTTTGTTGTCTAAAGTCTAGTCGTTCTTGTGATACAATGAAGAGATAACGCAAAACAGTTGAATTCAACCGGTTCCGTAATAACTAGGCGAGGACAAACGAACAATACTCTCACAAATTTCCGAGATGGAAATAACAGAATGCACAATATGACCAACAGCATCCAAGCTGCAAGCAATGAGACGATACTTTATTAGTGTGTAATCATTGTCAAACTTATCCTTCACAAAAGGGTCTGATTTGAGCCCCATGCACTTCCTTAACGAATTTATTTAGTGCTAAGTTCCATTTTGACCAATGCCCGGATGAGAGCGATATTATGATTTCCAAAGTGAACGACCGAATTCTCGCATGCAGAGCAATTAACATACACATGTTAGAAAATGCCGAGCAACCATCAATTGCACATCTGAAATCCACTCGTTAAATAAACCGGCTCCGAACCAACATTCATTTGGAACTGTTGTGAGATGCTACACACATTTGTGAGTAGTACGTAAAATAATGCAGTTGACGGCACCTTTCAACGATCAAAAATGAACAAGACCACTTAGAGCCAATTGCTATGCTCCAACATCATAACTACGGACTGTTCCATTCATTACCCTGTGTGCTGCCGGGAATTGTGATGACATGTTTAAAAAGAGATATCTTGTGAGTATGTATGCCAAGTTATCGATATTCTAACTAATCCGCAACAAACAACTATCCTCGTTCATGCCCCATCTTGTGGAATTATAACAGAACTAGTTAACAAAATTATTTACCGTATGGACTCAATCGAGGAGCTTGGCATTGCAGTGAAATGATAGAAGAATGAGTTCNCAAAAAACATCTACGAAAATAAATGCTTCATTTGTTCATTTTGCAACAAAAGCCGCGTAGAGTAGGTTGAATTGAGACTTGAGTTATTCGACTTGGATAGTGCCAACTTCCATCACAAGTAGATCCAAGATCAACCAAACTCGACCGCTCGACACTATAATAATCACATGTTTCGCCACCTTTCGTTTACATTTTTGGAGGCTTCGAGATTACCCTTTCTACCATACATCTTCACCCTTGTGTACGTTCAACGTTCAAATTAGTAGACTGATCGCACACTGCACAAACATGAATACGGTGCAAGACATTGCAAATGAACAGTATTACCCAGTTATCAGTTATTCCTTATGCTTTGAAAATGATTCGGTAAGCACGGGCAACTGGATTACCTTGGACCTAAGGAACATTTCTTTTNATGGAGCTTCAGCTAAGACCAATAATTCTTTAGTCTTGACCAACAATCCTCTAGTCCGACCAATAATCTTTTAGCCCAATTCTGCAACACTTCAGCCACGATCCGTAGCACTGTATCCTCGATGCACAAACCTTAGTCATGCTACTGTAGGTGATTCAGATCAAAGTTGTACTGACAAATTTGAAGGTCACATATGAAATGTTGAAGAACTTTTTCTACGAAGATGGCTGTTGCAAAGCTTAGTAAGCAAGTAAGGTGAGGCGATCGTAAGTGTAAAGTCATTTACACACTATGTTATGTTTAGGATTGTGACCAAAAGTCGAGGGGTGTTTACGTTTTTCCTTGAATTACCACGGTTCGGTGTTAGATTCCACGGTAATGGGACTTTAAAATCACATCACGATAAGTAACAGTAATCCTCGTCGTACCTACTCTACTGTTAGGCGCATCTAAAACATGGATAACGATAAAATGGAAGCAGAGGACATAACCGTATCCTTTCACTGGAACAGACGATCGATGAATAGTAATTGAATAATCCCGCAGAGGTGATGATTTGAAAGCAGGTACCAAAAAAGTTAAGCGTTAGAATGAAAATTAGCCGTTGTAATGCAGCCACGGGTAGGAAATTACTCTCAAACCGGGATTTGTCAAGACGTAGTTGCACTAAACAGCTCACACTGTTCGTAATGTTTGCCCACTTTCACTCTTACAACGGCAGTGACGTTGCACTAAAAAATACTGAATTATCGTTAGATCGTGCAGTACACTTCTAATAATCCTTGACTAACCAGACCGTATTTTGAAAAAAAAAATTAAAAAAAACTGTTTATGGTATTGTTGTTGTTGTCCACCCGCTTTTCTGTCAACCAAATTGCGCAGTGTCAGAATGGTCACACAGATAGGCACAGCCACATTTATACTATTGAGGCTGTGTTGTGTTCCGCTTGCACGAAAATGCTCAGCTCTCACCGACAGCGATAAACGTCACACACACACACTCACCTAATAAACGCAATTGCGGATGTTTGGTCGTGCTAGCGAATGAAAAATTGGCACACCTCCTCGCCCAGGTGTTCTGTGTGTGCACAGCTCTATTTTCGTAATGTGCCGCATGAGTGAGCAGTATGCAGTAGATGCGCGGTTTGCGAACTTCAAACAATCCCGTAATTGTGTTCTGCTCAGCTGAGAAATTTACCTTTTCCATAGATTTTCCAATCGATGTTAGGCAGAACAAGAGGAGCTTCATGGTCAGCATCCCAGCGAGTAAAGAACACGTCCGTTGCAAGTGAGGTTTCCACTCGATCATGACGATGTCTATTTACTCGAACTGGTTCAGTAGAACTGTTTTCCGAACAGCCAGTTTAGTGAAGGTGGAAACGATTTGCACGATAGGGGAAAAGTATGATACCCTGACTGCATGCTGGATTTACCAAACTTATAGCTCATGAGACGCAGTGATTCCCGCACACAACCAGTTTAATCCAAATTACTCTGATTGGAGTTATTAAACCTGTCATACTGGAAACTCGTTTTCTCTTCGATTGGCCCGTTGCCGATTGATTATCACTCCATCACCCTTCCTGAACCACGTGGTCTTCAAACAGACCAATGAGCCAGCGTGTGTTGTGAACTATTTCGAGAGTATTTGGCGGAAGTCGTTGTCACCCAGTGGCAAGATTGACAGCTTAACTATCTGGGCCGTAATGAAAGAGTTGAGTAGAATGTGAAATAAACAAGATTTTTCTTCACCCGTCTACTCATCAGATGAATCCCGGACTACAGCGTGATTTAGGTGTCAACTGATATCACGCAGCGCAATTGTAGGGTGATG